GAATAAAGAATAAACTACATAAAAATAAAAGATGAAAGTGTTAAACAAAAATTAGGCACATTTTCAGAGGAGAGAAAGAGCAATTAGGGGTATCATGTTATAAACTATGTAAATATCTAACCAATGTACTGTATACTTGAAACTAATAATAAAATTTTGAAAAAATTAGGCACAATTTTTCTCACTGACCGAACTTCAAAAGGACAGACTTATAATAATACTTTAAGAAAACAATTTCTTATAGCTTGCAGTTTATAGAGGCTAATTAAAATTTTCTCAAGACAATGCTCTATCTTACTATTTTTAGTCATTTTTCAACTGCTGAAGTATTTAAAAAATCTGCCCAAGTTATGACTCTCTAGTGCAAAGTTCTTTCTACAAAACACACTACTGAAAACCTTTTTCCTGAGTTATATTTTGCTGTGCACCAGTGAGTGATGTTATGAAACATCCACATTTTGTATATCAAATATTTGGACATACAGAAATAAATAGAAGTTTCTTAAAGTTCAACAGCCTAATAGATGAATGATGAATTTAACTGTTTCTCCTTTATTTTGTTACCATGATTTCTGAATCTAGCACAGCAAACTAAAACATATTTAGAAAATGAAAAAGTAGAAAACAAAGATGCCATGTTATTGTCGTTGGCAAAGGACAAACATGGCTAAGGTCATAAATGATTTAGGAATTACATATGTATGTTTCATACACAACCTTCAGCTTTGTATTTAGAAAGTAATTTTAGCACAGTACAAAACAAGCATTTTTCATTCAAAAATAAATTTCATCACATACAAGATGTTTTGAAATGCTTTTGTTTCCTCACTTTATGCAGGATGTTCAGAAAGATAGAATAGCAGCTAATACATGTTTAAAAAATTGTTTTCAAGCTTCAGCATAGAAAGCCACAATACCATACTTCAAAGAGAATAATAGCAACATAGGAGAACATGCAAGCAACAAACGATATATCTGCTTAAACTTGCTGAGAAAGGAACACGCTGACGTGCCTTGAGAGGAAAAGTCATCCTGACGTGGCACCTACTGAAGAATACTAGGATCCTGTAAAAGTGACACAGAAATGCATAAGAGATTTCTGAGATGATTTTTGTCATCTTAAAATCCAGTTACATTATTTACAGTAAGAGGACAAATTTTTAGTGGAATGCAAATCAAAACCACAGTGAGATAGCATTTCATACCCACTAGGATGGCTAGAATAAAAAAGAAAAGATTAAAAACGAGTATTGGTGAAGACATGGAAAAATTGGAGCCCTCGTACATTGTTGGTGGGAATGTAAAGTGATATAGCCACTTGGGAAAACAGTTTGGCAGTTCCTGGAAAAATTAAACAAGGAATTACCATGTCCCAGCAATACTACTCCTAGGTATATACCCAAGAGAATTGTAAAGATATGTCCGCACAAAACCTTGTGCATGAATGCTCATAGCAGCAATTATTCACAATAGCCAAAAAGTGAAAATAACTGAAACATCCATCAATTGATGAGTAGATAAATAAAATATGCATTATTCAACCAAAAAAGGGAATGAAGTACTGATATGTGCTACAGCATAGATGAGTCTTACATACATGTGCTAGCTAAAGAAGCCAGTAACAAAGGGCCACCTATCGTATGATTCCGCATGCACGAAATGCTCAGAATAGGTGAATCTATAGAGATGGGAACTTGATTAGTGGTGTCCAGAGGCTGGGGGATGGAAGCATGGGTTTTTTTTTTTTTTTTGGAGCAACAAAAACATTCTAGATTTAGATGGTGGTGATGGTTATACAACCTTGAAGAATACACTCTTAGAAGAATACACTCTTCTAAAAACTACTGAATTACAAATTTTAAAGTTTGAACTTTATAGTATATGAATCATATCTCAATTCAAAAACTTCTCAAGTGTAAAGCATTTCTATTTGCCTTTTTCTATGTATAGAACAAAAAATATTTGTTTTACATATTTTGAGGCTAAAGTTTTAGGAATTAACAACTCTAGAATTATTATATCTTTCTCGTGAATTAAATCTTTTATCACTATTTGTAACCCTCTCTGTCTAGTGTTATGAGAAAGGAAAGCAGCTGCTGAAGTGAAACTCTTGAATGCATTTATGGCTTTCCACAATGCCAGGTTCACTGAGTGGAACCTTCTCAGATAAACCAATCAGGTGCTCATGCAGGTTAACACATAATACACAGAGAGGGAGAAGTACAGAGTCTTACATGACAGAGCGAAGGGACGAAACTCCTTAGCATCTCCAAAACAAGCTCTGTTGACTGGTGGCATGGAGAGCTGTGCGTAGTTACCAAGCCAGCGGCTACCACAGGCACATTAGTCTTCAGCTCTAGTGCCACCCATTCATGATGCTCTCATATCAGACTTGAGCAGCATCTGTCTAAGGTGTTCAGCTTATGTGGACCTTACAAGATGAGATCCTTATGCTTATCAGCTCATGCATATGTGGACTTATCTAGGACAGTCGTATCCAGGCTGATGATTCTGTGGTTTTGGGTGTTCTGGTCACACCTTAAAGGCATCCCCATTATGCACAAGTTGACATTACACTCATGGCTCCCATGGAATCCATTTTGTAAAGTCCAAAATATCCTCATTTCTTTATGCTCATTACATCTAGTAACATCTTTTGTCATTCAGTATACTTGCCTGATATTAATATGGTAACTCCAACTTTCTTTGGTAAGAATTTACATGGTGTATTTTTTATCTTTTAACTTGTGATCATTTTGTGACCTTATGTTAAAGGTGTGTCTCTTATGAAACACACATTTAGGTGTTTTTTATCATGACTGACAACTTTTACTTTTTAATTAGAGGATTTAGTTCATTTATGAAATGTACTGTTTGCTAATACAGTTGTGTGTTTTTTCTACTATCTTCGTAGGTGCTTTCTATTCATACTTATTTTTCTACTTCTTTGTCTTCTACTCTGTTTACTGTTGTTTTTTTTTTCTCATTCTATTTAGCCCTTTTTTGAAAGTTGCCGCATTACTTATTCTTTTAACACTTAAGCTACATTTATTAACATGCATATTCAACAGTCTAAAGTTAACATCTGAGCATTACAGAAATCTTAGACCATTTTTTTTCTATCACATCCTTTTCACCTTATATGACATTTTCCCCTGTCTTACAATTTTTACTGATTTTACCCTCAAATTAGATCTTAGTTTACTTATATTGAATTAACGTTTGTTCATATGTACTCACATATTTGTCAGCATCCTTTCTTTGCTCCACATTCTTTCTTAAATCTCAGACAGTCCCTCGAGGGCCATTTTCTTTCTGCTGACAGCACATTCCTTAGAACATCTTTTCTCAACCTAGGTTTCCTGAAAAATTTAAGCTGCGATACCCTTAGGCATCCATGGTCTATAATGGATTAATTTCTCTAATGTGCATCTAGAATGAAACGATAAGAAACTACTCCCGGAAAACATTTTCTGTAAGTTTTATTCTCTTATGGAACCCAGTTGAGAAAGGCTGCTTCAGAATTCCATTTAGTGTGTGGATCTTTTGATGATAAAATCTCTTGGGCTTTTGGAAGTCTGAAAGGTCTGTATTTTGTTTTCCTTTGTTTTGTTTTTCTTGAATGGCACTTTTTCTGGGTTAAAAAACTCTAAACTGTGAGAATTTTTTCTAAGCACACTGGAAGTGTATCTTCTGGATAGTAGGGTTGCATTCATGATTTGAAAAAGACTGACATAGGTATAGAGCTGAAGTGTAATAAAAAAAGAGGAGATGTGAACCAGGGAGACATGTATTCAAACACCTCTTTGAACTTTTGTTTTTCCATCTACATAACGGATATGTTGCACAGTTGTTGTCATAGAAATGATGTACATACTGCATCTGAAATATATATGTTCTTGTGATCTTCATGATTATTGCTGCTGTTTTTTTCTCTTAGTCATTTTTCATGACTTAGTTTATTCATAGATTTCATAGGTTTCAGTCTGGAGCCCCCAGAGAATACAGTTTTATGTAGGAATTGTGTAGGTACAGGATAGAATTTTCCTTCCATAAACCAGCCATTTAGATTAGTAGGAGAGGAGATAATCTGACTCCTTTGTCCTCATTCCAAACAGAAAGTTTTCTTCCACCCATTTGACACCAGATTGTTAGCTAAATTTCTCAAAGCTCCTAGGCACTATTTCTAACAAGGTGTTAACATTTTGTTTTAGTGTATTGGTTTGAATTTAGGCCAAGTACTATCATTTGATTATAAGAATGTGACTGGTTTCCAATGGTGTTATTTGAGAAATTGGTTGGGTTATTCATGTATATGTGACTTATCTCACTAATATCTGTCCACTATCAGTATGAGTTTTGACTATACCCAGATAGCTGAGGAGTAATAAGACAGAGAGTGCTCAATGCCAGGCTTTGCTATCACACACATCAGAACCAAATAAACAAATCTCTTCCTTCTCTGGTTGGATGTTATATACAAGAACACCTTGGAGAAACACAAGCTGCAGGGCAATGCCTGAAGACATTTTTCACTCTCCCCTGCATTCTTCCTCCTGAACACACACACACACACACACACACACACACACACACACACACCCAGGAGTTTGCTAGTCTGGCATGGAGAGAACAGTCATTCTTACTCTTCTTAGTCCAGAGACGCTTCAGTTTCACCCAACTAAAGTAAAGAGAAGCAGAAATAAAACTTATTTTTTATTCATATTTGCCTAAAGGCACATTTGATTAGAGAATAATAACCTACTAAGGATTAAGCATTTAACTAGGTAAATCAGTCATTGGAGATTGGAAGACTTTTTAAAGCCTAAAAACAGGCATCATATGAATATACTATAATATACATAACAACTTCCCTGTTGATTTTTTAGGTTATTTTCATATTTTTGCTACTGCAGACAACATTGCATTTGAAATTCTAGACATAAATCTTTCTCCTGAAAAACTGCTTGTAGATGGACTCCAACAATCCTCAAAATACATTATAACACAATCTTAAAGCTTGGTTTTATACTAGTTTGGATGTATGAACCACTTTTCCTTTTCTCAAACAGGATGATCTAGGAAAAAAGAAAGGCTGACATTTAGAAAGGGTAAGCCTATTCAATACAGAATGAGAGAGACACTGCAATCTGCATTCTAGGGATGAAGGCACATCTGAACATTTATGAGACATAAAGGCAAAAGTGGTGGTGGCTCACCTCATTGTCTCCTGGATGAAGCCAGGTACCAGGAAGGTAAAGTGTTTCCTGTGGTCCAATATACCAATATCGCCCAAGGTTACGTCCATTGATGAACACAAATCCATTATTCCAGTCCTGAAAGGGACGGAGGCTTGACACATGGGAACAGATTCACACTGGCAAGGTAAAACTTAAGGTACTTGGGGAGTGACAGCAAGACTGAGATGCTTTATGGCACTAAAAGTGAAAGTGAGTTTACAATGGGATATGTTCTAGAAGTTTTACCCTGCAGTACCTGGTCTAAGGATGACAGAGAAAAACATGAACCCACTCCTTAATGCTAACATTACTGTTGTTCCTGCCCTATGATATATAATGCTATACTTTAAAAAACAAAACAAACAAACAAACAAAAACACAGTTCTTCTGCTTCCAGAAATAAGTACTAGGTAATAGAGATGAACACTACTGTTAACAATAGCTATAAAAGCTACACATTTTTTAAAAAATCTGCTTGCAATACAATAAAGAATTACAGGACCAAGATCTAGGAGAAGAAAACTGAGAGACAAGTAGACATTGAGGCAGTTTTTCCACTAGAGGAATCTGCTTATTCAGGAAGAAGTGCCTGAGAAGCTTAGCAGAACTTTTCGTAGCCTCATAAGTTTAAGGGAACAAAAACTGGATAACCGGGAAACTTATTAAATAATATACACTCTGAGCTGGGAACCTGAGAGTCTACACCTAGGAGAAGAGTGAAAAAAATAGTCCAGTCATTGGATGGAAGCCTTGATTCAAACCATTTCAGTCTTTGTAAATTATAGCAAGGTATAATATCCCTAGCCACCTCCAGAGGTAGATGTAAATCCTCTGATATCATCTTAGGCCTTGAGTTATTTCTAGCATTTTTCATAATGTCTGGCACTCAGTAAAAAATAATAAGCAGATGGGGAGGGAGAAAATATAATAAAAACAAAGAGGAACAACGAACAATAGAAACAGATGAAGGTGATACAGATAGTGGATTTTTAAGTCACAGGCTTTGAAATGACTATGCCTACTAAATTAGTATGTTCAGTATTGGTATATTAAAGAGATAAAAGTATAGTATATCAAAATTAGTATGTTAAAGAGATAAAAGACAGAATTTTGACAGAGAAGTGGAAACTATAAAAAAGACTAGAGTTTGTTACCAGCAAGGCAAGAAATAACAACTTTTGGCAAGGATACGGAGAAAAAGGAACCCTTATACACTGCTGGTTGGAAGGTAAATTGGTACAGCCACTATGGAAAACAGTATAGCATTTCCTCAAAAAATTAAGAATAGAGCCACCATATGACCCAGTAATCCTTCTTCTGGGTATCTACCAAATAAATTTTAAAACGTTCGTAAAGAGATATGTACCCCTATGTTCACTGCAGCATTATTCACGATAGGTAGGACATGGAAACAACCCAAGTGTCCTCTGATGAATGATTGGATAAAGAAGATGTGGCACATATACACAATGGAATACTATTCAACATAAAAAAAGATGAAATACTGCCATTTGCGACAATGTGGATGGATCTTGAGAGTATCATATTGAGCAAAATAAATCATATGGAAAAAGACAAGAATCATATGATTTCGCTTGTATGTAGGATTTAAAACAGAGAACAAGTGAATGACCAAAATCAACAAACTCACTGGCACAGACAACAATATGGTGGTTAACAGATGGGAAGGGTGGAGGGAGGTCGAAGAGGATAAAGAGAGTCAAATGTGGTGAGGGAGGAGACTAAACTTTGGGTGATGAGCACCCTATGCAATATGCAGACGATTAATTATAATATTGTACACCTGAAACATATAATCTTATTAACCAATGTCACCCCGATAAATTTAATTTAAAAATTGTAAATAAAAAGGCTATAGTTATAGAACAAAAATTCTAGAACTAAAAAATATAATAATTAAAATTATGAATCAAGACATAAAACATTTGAAACAAGATGATTAACAAAATTGAACTAATTAATATGTATAGAATATTCATTTAACACATGCAAAAATACACATATTCTTTCAAGTATGTATCAGAATCTTTAGAAATTTAATCCTATGTTGGACTACATAAGTATTAACATGTTTTAAAGTTCTCAGGCCACAGTGCAATTAAACAAGAAATTGATAACAAAAATATTGCCATAATATATCTTCAATAATTTTTTTAAAACTTATGGATGCAACCAAATCCATGCTTAAATGAAAATAATAGCTTAAATCAATATATTAAAAAGAATACAGATTAAAAATCAGTTATCTGAGCACATTTTTAAAGGGATTATAAAAAGAAAGCAGATAACTCCTATGATAAAAAAGTGAAATAAACAAAATAATAAAAATAACAGCAGAAATTAAACAAAAGAAATACATAATATAGTAAGTGTCATAGTCAAACATTCTTTCTTTGAAACATTAATGTTCTGGTGATACTTAGCAAGAAAAAAGATGTTACTATAGATGATCTAGACATTAAAAAACAATTTAAGCCCAATACCTTTGAAAATTAAGATGAAATGGGAAAAAATTTTATAAAATATATTTTATCTAAACTAACTTTCAGAAAAACAGAAAATCTGAAGAGTACTTTAATCTTAAAGGAATTTAACACACACACAAACTTTCCCACAAATAAAAAGTTGTCTTAGAGGTTTTGACTAATGGACTCTACCAAATATTTAAAAAATAATACTAGTCTTATACAAACTCTACTATGTAATTCAATTTACATGAAGTCAAAAGAAGAAAGAATGAATTAGAGTGTTAGGAGTCAAGATAATGGTTACCTTTTAAAGAGAAGGGGAGGACTGTTGACGATATTTTATTTTTCTCAATGGTAATTATCTGATGTTCACTTTGTGATAATTTATTGAATTGTACACTCACATTTTGTACATCTGTTATGTGTTTATACATAAAAATATATATGAGGTAAAAAAAAGGCAATTCACAAAATATAATTTATGGAATGGCTGCATTGGTGCAAAAAGTAATTGTGTGTGTGTTCAGACAAAGTTGTATATGAAATCATACAAACTACTGGTAATGCTTAGTTCTGAGAAGTAGAGAGGAACTTAAATGCGGGTGAGTTTGATGCAGAATTTCCACCATTTGCTCTCTACATCTTGTTGTTATTTGAATTTTTCTATTGTGTTGTGATGTACGATTTTTTGAACAATGATAAGTTAGGAAGATTGAGAGATGCTGGATGGCTTAGTTGGAAGTGAGGAAGAAAAAGAAAGGAAAAAAGGGAAATATTCTTGCCAGGAACTCTATGGCTTTGCTTCAACTCTTTAAGAAAGAATAGATGGTTGGGACGCCAGAGTTAGAAGAGGGTGCTCACTTACCAGTAATCTCAGAAAGGTGTCCTTGGGAGAAGAGCCAGCCCTCAAGGTACAAATGTAGAAGGCAGGGCCCAGATAACTACTTCGGAAAGGCCTCCATGTGGCAGAGCGGAGCCTGGAAGAAGGGCCAAACCTTGAAGGAGAGCAATAAGTCCCAGTATTGACCCTAGATTCCCCATGCAGGTACTGGGATTCTGTTTCAGTGGGACATGTCAGACTAGGACCCTTAAAAAAAGAGACTTGTCCTAGGGTTCTAGTCCTGACTCCAAAGCACTCTATAATCCTGAGCAAATCACTTCATTTCCCTGAATCTTGGGCTCTTCATCTGCACGGTGAAGAGTTTCAAATCTCTGAGTTCCCTGATCCCTCAAAGTGTCCATTGGGAGTAAGTAGGAGCATACCTCTCAAAGAAGCTCATTTTCATTTCCAGAGAATAGATAGTGTAACCCTCCAGGGGGGTATTATTGATGGTAACAGATCCAGTTAATCCTGCAGGTGGTCGGTAGGAAAGAGAATATGGTCAGGGACTAGATTGCTCTGTGTCTAGGACAAAAAAAAAAATGTATATACCTTGTGATAAGGTCTCAGCCACAAGGGCAAACACTTGTTTGACTTGCTATGACTAAAGGTTTCTTGCTGTATGCTTCCATACTACTGAGAAGTTCCCCATTTAGTATCAGAGCTTTTCCTGAAATTCCCGAAAGAAGACTGGGCTCTGCTCCAGGACAAGCAGTCAGCACCCAACAAAATTGCTCCACTTTCTTACCTTGGAGAAATGGAGAAGGCAGGACAAGAGAAAGGAAAGGAGTTTGAATTTTTGGTCCTAGAACCTAAGTCTCCCACTGCCTGAGTGGCTCATTTTTTCCTCCTGACTTCAACATAGCCCCAGTGTGAGAGTCCAAGTAACCATAAAGAGAGATTGCAGCCTGTCTCTCAGCCCTAGAGCCCACCTTTCCGCTGATCTTGGATTTTCCATGAGAAATTAACTCGTCCTTGATTCTCCACCAGGATCCTTAGACGTTGACATCCCTGTTTGGGGTAGACCAGTTTATGGAAATGAAAAGGTCACACAGGGTTTTTACTCTAGAATCTTTTCTTTTCTCTGAGTCCTAGATGGAAAGACAAGAAAATGGGAGACAAGGAGCCTCCAGAGCTCAGCAGTCCTCCCTCTCCTTTAAAGACCCTGCATGTTCCCATTCCACACTCAGTTTCCCCTTTGTTCAGCTAATCTGCCTTAGGAAAGGCAGAGGGACTCAGCTGTGCCTTTGAAAAGAGACCCAATCAGCAGCTAATGGTTGACTCAGGGCTTAATGGGGAAATTCCATTCACACCAAAGCATGTATACTGCCACTCATGATATATATGGGCCTGAGAGATGCAGTTTTGTTTATAACTGACATAGCTAAACAAACACTTTCTGCTGGGCCCCTCAGTGAGGAGCAATACCAAAGGGCAGTGGAAGAGAAAGGAGGCAGTCTATCTCAGGACCAGGCTGTGTTTGCATTTGAGTCTGGGATCTAGGGCAGCATTTAGACTCTTGAGTTACATACCCTGACTTTAGGAATGTTCAAGTACTGATCAGCATCATCCAGAATTCCTATACTGGTATCATTCAAAAACACCTGCAAAAGAAGAGCCGGTGTCAGACAGGTAGGCCTACTGGAAGGAAGGGAGAAGAGAGGCTCTAGTTTAGGGAGAAGGTCATGATGAAGGAAGGGACTGGCCTTGGTGCTCACAGATGTTTAAGCTGACAGGAAAGCCCCAATAGAACTAGGTTGTGATAAAGCATAAAGCAAGTTTCTTTAATTTGAATTAATATTCTCAGTGCCTCACACATGGGTGCTTAAATAGTAGGTACTATTAAACTGTAAAATTGACCAGTGACTAACTTTCCTCCCCAACAGCAGCAAAGTTAAGCTAAATGTTCTGCTTACCTCCATAGACAGCCTGCGGACCCCTACCTGTGCTGTATCTTGAACATCAGCATGGAGCTCACCTCCAGAACAGATGACAGTCTCATACAGTATGAATCCATAGGACTGACCGTTCCCACTGTTTATGGGAAGATTCTCCATATTGATTGGTTTATCAGATATGACTGGCTATGATAGAGATGTGGCAGAAACAGGAGCCAGGGCAATGAGAAGTCAGAATCCTTCTTCCTAAGATCCTTGTCATTTTTTGTTGTACCTTCTAATGGTCCCCAAGAGTTCTTTGAATGAGAAATACTAAAATAGGTGCTATGTGATGATACTCTTAATGCTTTATATCTCTATTGACCAGAAAACTCAGAAGACGGGGAGGGCATGGTAGAGGGAATAATTAACTGTAATCATAAGAATTAACAGAGTAAATAAGTTGTGTTCTAACATAACTAAAGTCGAGTAAAGAATTATGTGCTAAGCAAACATTGAGCATCTGTAATATGTCAGACACTTCTTTTTATCTAAAACAGTGATAGTGGAGGTAAAACCAATATGAATTCAAGAGTTAACATTTTTCAAACAATATCTACCTTTTCTTCAAAATAGAGTAGGTAGTCTAATTTTAAAGGGCTCACAGGGACCTGTACAAGTGCAGCGATTCAACCTAGTTGACAGTGAAGAAGAGTCGGAAACTCAGTTTCATGAGTTCCTAGCTCAGCAGCCATATGAATCATACAGTCCTCCACAAGAGCATTTACCAAATGGTTCATGTGAGCTGGAAACCAGGACTCTCTAATAGTCTACTTCTCCCCCCATGCCTAGTCATTCTTTAAATTCAAACCCCTCACAGTCCATCCAGAAAGAGCTTGTGGGTCTTTCCCCATAGTTCTAAATTGGGAAGAAATGCAGAGAATTGGTTTTCCAATAAAATGCCCTCGAAGGAATCTCTACTCTGTGGCTTATGGCATTCTGCCCCATGTCTTCAATGGCCACCCACCCCCCATTCCAGTGCCCAGGCAGTACTCACCTCATTTAAGTACTGTAGGACATCCCACAGTGGCAAGTGAAAGGACGGTCTCATAGAAGGATACACAGCCTTGGGAGTGAGCTCAGGTAAGTGGGGCAGGGGTAATGCTGCAGTAAAAATGGGCAATGGGACAAGAAGTATCTGAAATAAGTACTGCCTTCTCAAAGCCTCCCCATCCCTATCCATGAGCTCTCGTATTGCAGAGCGAACAAGAGATATGGGTCCTATCCTCGAACATAGCTATACTTCACCAAGAATAATGAAAACCTGTCGACAACCAAGTTGGAACCATTTTGCATGCACAGATAGCTCATAGGTACAGATCCAGAAAGGGTAATATTAGTTATATAGGCTAAAGGCTCTTAGAGAACAAGAATTCTGCCTTATGCCTAACTACTTCTTAGCACATACTAGATAGTTAATAAACTTTATTTAAATAAGTAAAATTAAATTGGATGATTTTTGCTATTGTATATGGGGGTATTACATCATACATCATACTAACAGCTTTACAAATAGTAACTTAATTTTCACAAGTATCACTGTCTTCATGTTTCAGGGAAGAAACTAAGGCTTAAAGGGCTTTAAAACATTCACACAAAACCATACGGCTTCTAAGTGAGAAAATCAGGATTTGAAGTTAAGTTGCCCTTGCTCTTAAGCACTTCATTAAGCTTCTGCCCTCTGGGGATCCTTCCCTTTCCTCACACTTCCACTTCATGAGGACAACCCGCTCTCAAGTTAGAATGGTTGCTAAGTACCTAAGACAGATCCAAAGAGTTTTCGAAGCTTGAAATATTTTTCTGTGTAATCCCCAGCTTCTGTCAGCACAGCATCATAGTCTGCAAGACACCAGGGCACTGTCACTGGCCAAGCAATCTTCTATAGCACTTTCAGCATGCCATGGGCCAGAGCCACTAGAGAAAAAAAGAAGACACATCTTCCCTGCCCCCAGCTGGGTCCACCCCAGGCTGGGGTGTGAGGGACTAATGCCAGTCTAGAAACATTCCGCACAACCCTTCCTGGGAATCTGAGGCTGTCATGACACAGAGTTCATCCTCTGTTTCACTTTATAATGGACACTGTCTTCTTTCCTCAATCTGGGTTGCCCAGCTGTGCCTATTGATGCCCTTATAGCGATCACCATCTGTAATCTGTCTCCCTTGGAAGGCTCAAGTCAAGGGGTCAGTGTACATGATGAGTGAAGCAGAGCTTTAGGTCATAGGCAGCCCTGTCTACTGCAATGCCGGCCTCTTGGGGGCATTATGAATATCACAGAAGGAAGGAAAATAGATAGGAAAATCCTCAATGCTCAGCATAGATTATAGGTCAAGAACCCAGTGATGACAGAACATCCTTTCAGAACCTCCTTGGTTAAACTCCAGCACCATCTATGCTGGAAGGTTACCATATCAGCAAACACTTACCATAGCTAGTGGCAATGCTTTTGTGCTTCCCAAAATTTGTGGCCCCATTTATGAAACCAAAGTTGGTTCCACCATGGAACATATATACGTTGAAGGAGATCTCAAATTTAATAAATTCAGACACAGTATTTTCAACATCTGTAGAGGAGAAAGATGAGAAAATAGAGCAAATTAAAAATTTAGAGAAGACTGAGTCTCTGGTGAAATCTTATCATTCCCTACCCCACCCCACAATCAACTTAATTCTTTTTGTCCTCCAAACTCTGCTAAGATTCTAACCAGAACATAGGTAGGATTGGCCAGAACTACTCTAGGAAACCATGTCTTGTTTCCTAGAGCCCTTTTTAAAAACCATTTTTCTCAGAGTATGGACATAATTGGACTTCAAACTTCATATATTAAATAATAGCCTAAGAACCTTATGTTTATTACATTTTTTGAAATTGTACAATAATTAGTACATCCTCATTATTACTCTTCTACGGTAATATCTCTGGAGACACTAGCTTAGAACCTCTCCAATAGTCTACAAGTGGCTGTTCTCATCTTTAGCCATAGAAACTCTCATTTGGTCATCATGATTTAACAGGTATGATCATCTTTCCACTGGCCATAATGAGAAGCAGGATGGTTAAAAGTTAGCTAGATGTAAGATTCAATACTGACAGTGCTCTTTAGTTTGTATGACCTTATACAGCCTATTTTCTCTCAGAGCCTCTTTTTCCTAATCTGTTAAATGAAGGTACTAATTCCTACTATTTCATAGAATAAGAGAATTAATTGATGACAGAATACATGCAAGAAATATAGCATAGTGCCTGACATACAGGTGATGAGAAAACTGTTGTTTGGTGGTGGTGGCAGTGGTGGTAAGTTTTTGTTTTCTTGTGTTTTGTTTTTCTATTTTTCAGGCCACAGTAGATTTTTCTCAGTTACCCAGTATTTTCAAATGGTTTTCTTTACTTCAGGTACAAGTGAGCTTGTTTTCAAAACAGCAATAGCAAAATGTCCTTAGTAGCAAAATACTTTTATTAACAACATCTGCTAGGCACTGTTCAGAGTGGTTTGCATGGATTGCCATATTTAATCCTCATAACAAACCCTATGAGGTGGGCTATGTGATAATCCCCATTTTTGGATTAAGACACTAAGACTTAGAAGCAAAAGAAAGCTGCCTTGGGTATGTGGCTAGTGCTGCAGAGCTGGGATTGAAATCCTGATCTCTGGCTCCAGAATCCACTCTCTAACCATTATTGCACATAGACTTCAGATAATTACTACCACGCAGTTGACTACTCCATAGCAATGGCCTGTGCATTTTCCAGAGATGATCAAGACTTGGCAAATGCATCCCCTTCTTCAGGATGTCACCTTTTCAGAGACCCTTATAATCACCTCACCCCGACTCTGCAGGCCTGTCCCTGTCTTTTTTATCACTGCATCCTCTTTGTTTGCTTCAAAGCACTTGTCAGATGTGGAGCTGTATACTGATTGTTTTACTTCTTTATTACCAGCTCTATTAAACTACAAGCTCCCTGGGGGTAGGAACCAGGTAATTTTTATTCACCAGTGCGCCTTCAGGCTTAGCCAAGTCCCTGTACATAATATGAATTAATAGATGTAGTTTAGTAAGCTTATTAACTAGCAGAGGAATGTTTGAAGGGTCCATGACTCAGGGCCATCTCTACTTGAGTCAAACACTGCAAAATACTTACCCTGTGCATCTTTAACATTGTGTTCATCTCCCCATTTATCAAACCAGCCGACCCAGTATTCCATAACCAAAATGGGCTTATTTTTCTAGAAACAAATCAAATAAAATGCTAAGTGTAACAAAAAGAAAAAATCAGAAAAACTGAATATAACAGACGAGCCTTAAAGAATTTATGCTTTTCACTTTTTCCCAAGTCAGTGCTTACCTCATCCCAAACTCCCCCTCACCCATTACACCTTTGGTTCCTCCATTCCTCTTAAACATTCATGATCTCCAGACTCCTTCCAGCTTTATGCATCTCCTGATACATCTGGATAGCACCATCTATAATTTCAGCCGCATCATATGAGAAGCTGGTGTTGAAAGAATCAGCTTCTAATACACAAGGACCTGACTACAATTCTTAATGAGATTCAAAGGTCACATTGCTGGTAAGGTCAGAGGCACAACACAAATCCAGGTCTGAGGCAAACTACCAGCCACTAAGCTATATTGTCTATTATGTATATCATTCATTTTCTCTATATCTTTATTTAATTTTATTCTACTTCATCTGTGTTGAAGTATCCATTGTAATTGTATTTCTATTTATTTCATTTTTATTTCTAACAGTTCTTACTCTGCATATTTTTGTTACTAAACAGTTTGGTATAGAACAATTCATAAATGTTACCATGTCTTTATGGATTATACCTTTTATGTATATAAAGTTATTATCATATTAAAGTGACTAATGATTATTAAACTCTTAATATGTGCTGAGGAGTATTTGAATGAAATACTTTACTTAATTTATCTGTGTAACAACCTAGTAAGTCCCCATTTTACAAAGAAACTGAGTTTAGAAAGCCTGTCCAAGTTCACTCAGCTAAGATATGTTAGAACTGGGATGTGAAGTCAGCCAGACTACATAAAACTAGAAGAAAACATACCAAAGCAATTCCATTACCCACAATTTCTGAACTAATGCTTGCCTAAAAACATAGACATCTCTTTTAAAATTCGTATTATCGGTGGCCTCATTTGCTGGTTGCTATACTCTTTCAGCCTGATACCTGCATTCTACTTCTAGCCTAACATTTTCAAAGCTGCTGAATAATGTAGGTTCTTTTTAAAAAGTTGACATCTTCTCCACAGCAGAACTGTTGTTGTGCTATGTATATTACAATGGAAAATTATAGCCAGACTTCTATTAGGGATTATGTCAGGCATTCATTCTATGCATTCTCAGTTGCATTCCTGGAGTCTTCCAGCATTCTTCTGTAATCAAAAATGGTTACACTGTAAGCCTGAAGACCTGGCATCCAGCAACTTTTCTTAGCTGATCCCTGGAGTTGGATGTTATGTGTTCTGGATCCCATATGTTCTTCTACCTTGATTTAACCTCTCATTTCCTTCATCCTCCAAAAAATTCCATTAAAAAGTTGAATAAAAAATAAGTATTCTTAGTTCTTAAATATCAGAAAATGTCTTTATTTTATCAATACAGCTGCTTAATATTTAGATCAAGTATAAAATTCTAAGTTGAAATTCATTTATCCTCAGAATTTTAAAAGCATGTTCCATTGCTTTTTATCATCCAATGTCAATATTTTAAAATTCTATACATCTGACTTTTGTTGCTTGGTATGTAAGCCTGTGGTTTTTCTCTCTGTAGGATATTAATTTTACAATGTAGATCTCATTCATGATTCATTGTGCTAACCATTTGAGAGGCACTTTCAATCTAGACATACATATCCTTCAGTTAAAGAAAATTTTCTTAGGCCAGTTATTTGTAACTTCCTTTTTTCTCAGTTCTTTGTCCTCTCTTTTTGTAATTTTTATTAGTCGGGTGCCAGGCCTCCTAAACTGATCTTATAAGACATTTATGTTGTCTCATACTTTATATCTTGCTGGCTTGTACTATTTATAGGAAATTCTCTCAATTTTGCCATCCAGTTCTTATATTTAATTTCAAATATTAGATTTTAATTTTAAAGAGTTCTTTTGGGTTTCATCCTTTTTTCTTACTATCTCACACTTGTTTCATGCATAATCTTATCTATGTTTCTGTGCATATTAATGAGCATTTTTAACATTTTATTCTGTTTCCTGAATTATCTCTATATTCTCTGATTTCCATTTTCTTTTTTTATTTGTAATTTAATTATTTTCTCATGGAGAACTTGTACTAAATAAATATAGATCCTTTATTTTCAACTGTATTTAAGAAGGAAGACTGATTTCTGGTATTAAAGTGGTACTGTGTTATTGGTGCACTTGACATTCTTTTTTTGGAAATCCTCAAAATCAAAATGAAAAATGAGAAATTGAAACACAAACAACATCTTTCATAAATCTAAGAGATATCTGAAACTTCAAAATATAAATTAGGAGAAAACAGTGCCAAAGTATTGAAAGTCTATCAGGATTCAAAAAGTGCAGAGAGAAGATGCTTTTTGTTAAAGATTTCAGGAAAGGATAGCAAGTAAAAAGCATACCCCATAGTTTAATACCAAAAATTTCTTATTTGCAATTACAGAATGGGGTTCACAAGTTGGTAAAAGGAGTACACTTTGCATAATTCAACATTATCAGAAGCTCGAAAGAAATTAATTATTGAAGAATCACAGATAAAATCTATAAGCAGGAAGAAGAATACTTGTGAGGCATCTGAGGGCAGTCCTGTAATTTCAATTGTCTGCCTGGGAGTGCTGAGAAGGGGGATAGTGGGGGGAGGTGTAGATGAAGAAAAGAATTCATCCCTGCATACATCAATGTGCCATTCAGATATATTGTTAGCCTGAAATGGAGTCATGTACTCTTTCTCATAGGAACTTTTCTTAAGTACTAGAGCCAATAAAAATTCAGTTAAGATGGTAGAGTAAGTAAACACTGTGCTTGGCTTCTCCCATGACAACATCAAAATTACAATTAAAATATAAAACAATAAACATTGAGAACCACCTAAAGACTAATCAAAAGTCCTATAACTAAGAACACAGAGCAGAAACCACATTGAGACTGGTAGGAGGGATGGAGATACAGAACAGGCTAGTCACACACCCACATGTGGTAGTTAAACATATGGAAAAATATCTTGGCTGTTGATGTTCCCCCTGAAGAGTGAGAGGTCCCAGCCTCACACTGGGTTTCCCAGGTCAGAGCATAAGTGCTGGAAAGAGAAGTCCCCATAACTTCTGGATGTGAAAGTCAGCATGGATTGTGGCTAAGTGAGATGAAGGGCTGCTGGAGTCCCAGGCGTCTCTCTTAAAGGGCCTGTGCATAGATTTACTCACTGAAGATTCACTTGCTCTGAGGTCCAGCTCTGGAGCAGCAGCTCTAAAAGTATCAGAGATATACCAGGAGGAAATGAATTGTCAGGAAAGGCCTGAAGGAGCAGTTTTCTCCCAGACATAAGTGCTGACAGAAGTCATTGTTCCCTCATTGAGTCCTCCCCATCCCCAATCTGCAGGTATAGTTGGGTGCCAAGTCTGAGTCTTGAACAACCTGGCTAACACAGTTTTCCCTGTCCTGGCAATTCCATGAGACCCTGGCTCATCTAACTTGTGGGCCCACCCACACTGCTTCCAGTGGCTTTTCCATACAAACAGCCTGTCTTGGCTCATGCTACAGACTTTCCTAAAATCTCTCAAAAGTTCACAAAATCCACTCTTGCTAAGTGGCCCCCAAGCTGGCACTAGTGGCAGTCAGCCTCAGGTCACAACTTAGCCTCTCCAAGCCACCTCCAAGCCCAGCACAAGTGGCAACCAACTGCAGATCAGTTTCTACTTCATACCAGGTAACCCTGGCCTGAGCACAAGCAATGGCTAACCTTGGGCCCATCCCAAAAGGCCCCAGAACCAACAAACACAGAGGCCAGCTTCAGAACAAACCAGAGTACCACCCAACCACCTCCACAAACAACACACCCAAAAGGCAGACTCAGCAGGCCCCTGAGCCCTGCTAAAGCAAATCCTACTCTGTGGGGTCAGCCCTTGAACAACAGTTCCTCCATTGTACTAATGGCCAGTCTTCATTGCCATTCAGCCTGAAGATCAATCTCTCCCATTGATGTGCCAACAGCTAACAAGGCTCAACCACAATAAGACACACAACCTACACAAGGGACACATCTGGAGCACTTGGCTCAGGGAGACTGTTCCACTGGGCCCCATGGGACACTTACTACATATGGTCACTCTACCAAGACCAGGAAACATAGCGGCTTTACTCAATACATGGAAACAAACACAGGGAGGCAGCCCAAATGAGGAGACAAAGAAACATGTCCCAGATGAAAGGACAGAATGAACCTTTAAAAAAAGAACTAAACAAAATGAATACAAACAATCTACTAGATGTACAGTTCAAAAGACTGGTTATAATAATGCTCAATGAATTTAGGGGGAAGAGTAGAAAGCTTTAATGAGGAAAAAAGAGAAAACATACAAATGGAGATAGAAAACATAAAGAAGAATCATTCAGAAATAAATAATACAATAACTGAAATGAAAAATACATTACAGGGAATCAACAGTATACTTGATGAAGCAGAGGATCAAATCAGCACTTTAGAATATAAGATAGCAAAAAACACCCAAGCAGAACAGCAAAAAGAAAAAAACTATTAAAAAAAATAAGAATAGTTTAAAGGGCTTCAGGGATAACATCAAGCATATCAACATTCACATTATAGGGGTTCTAAAAGGAGAAGAAAGAGAGCAAGAAATTGGAAACCTATTTCAAGAAATAATAATGGAAAACTTTCCTTACCTGGTGAAAGAAATAGATGTGCAACCCCAGGAAGCACAGAGAGAGTCCTAAACAAAGATGAATCCAAACAGGCCCACAGCATAATTAAAATGTCACATAATAATTAAAATGCTAAAGCTTAAAGACAAAGAGGATCTTAAAAGCAGCAAGAGAAAAGCAGTCAGTATCTAAAAGAGAGCTTCCATAAGACTGTCAGCTGATTTCTCAACAGAAATTTTTCAGGCAATAGGGATTGGCAAGAAATATAAAAAATGATGAAAAGCAAGGACCTACAACCAAGACCACCCTACTCAGCAAAGTTATCATCTAGAATGGAAGGACAGATAAA